ATTAATTCCGTCCTTATCTTTGACTTTGCAAGTCTTCTGTTTTCCCTTTTGTCTCTTCAAATTCCAAGTTCAGCTGTCAATAAAAAATTGAACAAAGAAAAAAAGGACTTGTTTAATAAAAGCATGTTCCCTTCAAACTGGCCTTATCAAACACAGTTTATCGATATTTATTTGAAGCAGTTTTGACTACGAATCAAATGAAGTCCAAGTACCCTTGAAGCTACTTAATGAACATTATATGCATGCTAAAATGTGTGACAGCTACCTTTAGAAGATGAGAAGTGTTGGCCACTGAAGTGTAAATCCTATGTACTGGCAGGGAGCAAATTACCATATTTGATTTCTTTCGGAAATTAAAGAATCTAAACTAGCTGAACTAATAAATTTGTCTTCTTATCATAAAAAAGTCTTCACAGGTGAATTGCACTGAATTTTCTTGCACATACATAAGATATTTGCATGTTAAGTGGTCTTACTGAATTTCACAAATACATTAAATAGATGCAAATAAGATTTTCATTGGCTACAGCTCGTTAGGAGCATGAGCTGAATCAGTGAGTCATGAGTGCTTTAGGCTAACTTTCATTTCTCCTTTCACATATCTCTGTCTACTCACTGCTTGTACTAGTGAGTGACAAGCTCTTGACTGACCCCGGTAGAGTCTTCTTGCCATTAAAAAGGCTCACCTAGTTTACCTCCTGTCAGAATTGATTAACCCCAGCTCTACTTTTCCTTTCTGGTTATGCGGCTGAAGGGACAGTGATTTAAGGTCAAGCTGACATCCATAGCACAATCACACTAAAGTAAACCAATCTATTTTACTGTATGCTAATAGTTTGGGTTAGGATTTGTCTTGGTTTTCAAAACCATTGTGTCTTTTGTCTTGTGTTTCTGAAAATGTGTAATAATATTAAACAAACAAATGCACTGTCAAGTTTTACAGGTAAATTGTATCATTCTCCTAAAGTGAAGCAGTATTGGGGGAAATCTGCAAAAAAAAAAAATCATATGACCATTCTGACCCATGCTAGTATTCTAGTCAGATACAACCAGGCCAGGTCTGACATGAGACAACACATAACTTTGACCGTCTAGCTGGCACGTTCTCCTTTGTGTTTTCCTCCTGCATGCTGACCACATGCAAATTTCAGTGGGGATTGTCAAATAATCCTACTTCAGAGGTGTAAAAACTGCTGAGTCATCTAGGAATACCAAATACTAAGGATTTTGAGAGCTCAGACACATTTTTCTGCGTTAGAAAAAAGGCAGTGCTTTTCTTCAGCCATCCCAGTTTGACGTGTAAATCTGGATTTTTCACTTCTTTCCAGCATAGCCGCCCACTAAAAAAGAGGCTCTGAGCTCCAAGCACTTGAAAGGTTGAAGTAACGGTGAAAAGTCTGTTTAGAGACAGTCACAGTTAAGAAGTCATCTTGTTATATGCCTCGCTCTGCCTATGTGATATTGAAAACAAGGTGTAAAGGGTAGGGCAAGGTTAATAGCAAAACCCTGCAACTCCACGGTAGATGAGTCATGGCTCATTTAGATTAAAACAGGTGGTCAAATGTCAGAGAGTCGAAGAGGGTATAACATTCTAGAATAACATTGCCTCCCTCCAACCTTATGAATAAATAAATATATAAAAATTAATTCAATTTTAATATGCAAATGTCAGTTGCCTGAAAAAGGACAAGCAGCTTTGATATCTTGGGGACAGAAGCCAGTTTTAAAAGTTAGGAATAATGGATGGTTGTGACAAACAACAGCACAAACTAATAATTCCTCGCAGTAACTTTAATCACTTTGGCACCATCCCTTTAAAGTGAGATGCTAATGTAAAGCATTAATCTTTCCTTGAAGTTAGTGGAACTAAAGCTAGAGAGAGTAAGAGGGAGAGAGAGAGAGAGAGAGAGAGAGAGAGGGAGAGAGGGAGAGAGAGAGAGCAGACACAAACTGATGCCCACTTCTCTCAGTTTTGCAGAAGTGTTGAAAGTGGGTTTATTTTCTTGCTTTGAGCACTGCATTTGGAGCTATAATTGTAACTCTGGCCTGAGCCGAGCTCACAGGCTAGCTGAAAATGGCTCCCTTGAGGGAGGAGTCTTCTGGAGCTCACAGACCTTCAGCTTTCAGCACTTAACCTGCCATGTTTCTTATCTACTACTGCCCTCATTACCATGGCCTTGCCAAGATATCTGGGCTATGGTCTTCACATCTTTAATGTGGTTTTCAATCTGTTCCAGGCCATTTCACATCTGTACGCCTTGCCTCTCAAGGGTTGGGATATACACCAAAAGCAATGCTATATGAGTTAATTTCTTCTACTGTTCAACCTTTAGCATAAACTATTTATATAAAAAGGTTTAAACCTATTTTCTGTTTTTCTAAAGACATAGTTTATTTAAATTAAATTAAATAAAGGCATAGTCAACTCAACTACCACAGTGCTGCTGCAATAAGCCAGAAAGCCACAGGTAAGGCCTGCTGGAGATGAGCATCTCTCCTCGGCAAGCAGATGTGCAAACTGTCGCAAATGAAACTCAACGTTCTGCATCACATACTGGAGCTCAACACACAGTCAGTTTTGTTATAAGTGGTGAACACTAAATTCTGTCACCAGTGCTGTTGTCACTTTCTTTCTTATTGCAGCCTTTGATCTTGAAATTAGCTGACAATAAATAAAATGCAGGACATCTGTTGCTTTCAGTGATGTGAACTCTACTGAATTTATATTCGTTTTGCAGAGACACATTTATGTGGCCAGGTCTTTCTCCTATTAAAATGTGTAGGTCTAGCTTAATGTCACTCTCTTTCTTGAACATCCTGTTGTTGTCAAATTATGTTATGATTCTCCATAAAAATGCATTGAATCACGCCTTATGTTTTGTCAATGTGTATCATGAGGTTACCTTCTAGTTCCAAACCCACATTGTTTTCTTTCTTCTGTAAAATGCAGATGTCGTGAAAGAAAGAATAAAATCATGCAGCTGTAATCCATGTGAATGGGAACAAGGCCTTTTGAGCTCTAAAAATTACCTTTAATTACCACTGAAGTACTCTGCAGTCTATATTCCAAGTCCTACAATTTTGTGAAGAAAAAAAAATGAAATGTGAATAGTTTTTTCAATGAACATCTCCAACCCCTCCCCAGCAAACTCTCATGTAATGCACATGCACATGCACTGAAATGTCATGGAATGAAAATGTATGTGGACCTGAGCTCGAATTTTTCCAATCTCTGTCAATTTTACACTTTCCTATCAAAAGCCAAAAGACCCATAGATAAATAAATAAATCTCACTTTCGTCAAACATGGCATCTTAAAACACATCCATTGCAGGGCTGATAGTAAACATCATTGGTTTTAACATGTCTAATGATCATTCACAATGAAACTTACTTGACTTGCAAGTGTGAATGAGATTAAAAAAAAAAAAAAAAAAAAACTGCAATGAGGAAGAATTTAAAATTTCCATTCTGTTCCTCACAAAAACTTATGACATTAGCATGGACATCAGAAAAGAAAAGAAAAAGAAAAAAAAAAATGCCACAACATCCATCCATTTTCCAAACCTCTTGTCCTATAGGGTTAGATGGGTGGATGGCTATTTGGAAGCGACATCATGATGATTAAATAATGACAGAATTTTTATTTTGGGGTAAATATTCCTTTAACAGTTTTGATGCAACAATGAGGAAGAATTTAACATTTCCATTCTGTTCCTCACAAAAACTTATGACATTAGCATGGACATCAGAAAAGAAAAGAAAAAGAAAAAAAAAAATGCCACAACATCCATCCATTTTCCAAACCTCTTGTCCTATAGGGTTAGATGGGTGGATGGCTATTTGGAAGCGACATCATGATGATTAAATAATGACAGAATTTTTATTTTGGGGTAAATATTCCTTTAACAGTTTTGATGCAAGCTGCAATAATTTTTATAAGCACCGTGTAAATGCAAAACCTCCAGTAGCTACATGATAAAAGTGTATTCATACATACCCAAGGCGCTTGTTTGCGCACTAAACCCCCCTTTTCTCTCTCTCTCGCTCTCGCTCTCTTTTAATAAACAGTCAGACGTCTTCCACCCATTTGAAAGCAAGCTCACTTGCATTGGAAACCGGTTGCATAAGCGCGTTACTGTTGAGCTCATAAATAAAGTAACTCCATGAAGACCATAATAGGCTATCTATTGACTGAAATGATTTGTCACAATATGAAAACCAGCAGACGGAACAAACTACAGAAAACGCACGCGCAATCCAAGTGTTATCTCCGACATACTGGGATCCGATCGATCGAATTTGCAAGGTTTAGCTGTATTTTCTTTTATTATTTATTTATTTTGAACACTGAATTTATTCGTTTGAATATTATAATATTTAAGAATATTTAAGTTCTGAATACGACGACAGTAGCACATTCCTTCTCAGATAATACATTGGAATTTTGTATGGAAATAATCTTGAAGAATCCTAAAATGTAGTAAGTTTTCATTCAAGGTTATACGCTACTACAAGAGTAATCAATTTTCTATCACATTTTCCATTAATAAAATAGACGACTATAAAACGCACAACTCATAGTTACACGTTGACTTTTACCTCAGTAAAACAAAAGCTTTATGTCGCATCATCAGTATGTCAACCGTGTGAATAAATTAGCTACCGATCGACAGCGTGACTAAAATTGATCTTAATAAATGGGGGAAAGCAATATTTTAAGTAATATCATCTCAAAGTAACAGTCGTCAGTCTTGCCCGTGATAAGCTCTCGCTCCTGGTCAGGTTCACCTCAGTGTATCTGTAGTCTGCTGTGGCGAGAAGAGACCTGTTAAACCTTAAAACAAATGTCGTGTTCCTCTGAAAAACACACTTACTCGTGAATAAAACACTGTGGGATTTTACGAAGACATGTCTTTAACAGCGTTTCCTTGTCTTTATATCTATATGACACGCATTTTACGCATCATTCAGTCATTATAACATGAAATGTACCTCACCAGAGATGAATCCTTGTTTTCTTCCGACGGACTTCAGACACTTTCTGAGCTCTGGCAGCTGATTTCCCCCTCTGTCTTTCCACTTATTTTCCAGTGAATTATTTCATGTCCAATGGGTGAATTTTGAAGTATTTGCCTCAGATGCTGAAATGAGGATAGTGGGGGAGCGCTAGTAACGTTGGAAAGCCTGCCCTCCTCAAACGAACCTTCCCGCCCCCTCCTTCCCTCACTCGCAGATGGGTGCTGGATGGCGACAAATTTCCCGCTCGGAGGAGGGTTTGAATACATCGCCGCGGATCGTTTCCAAGTGCTTAAATGAAGGCTACGGTGACCCTTTGGCAGAGAATCACCAATTAAAGTAATAGTTTAGCCAACATTATGTTATTATTTTACAAGACCTGGTGTTGTTCCAAACCCTGAAACCCCAGATTATTTTGAAGAATCTTTTAGGCAGCTCTTTTCCATTCACAATTCCTTGTTCAAAACACACACAAGTGCCACAAGTCCAAAGTGGAAGCAAGTCTTGTCATTGATTAATGAGTTATATTTCACTTCAGAAGAAAAAAAAAAAAAAGTAGCCTACAAATTGTAGGCGATGTTGCTCACTACCTTTATGGTATATTACAGTATTTAAGAATATTTAGGTTCCGAATATGATGACAGTAGCACATTGGAATTTTGTATGAAAATAATCTTGAAGAATCCTAAAATGTAGTGAGTTTTCATTCAAGGTTAGGCGTTACTACAAGAGTAAACAACTTTCCTTCACATTTTCCATTAGTAAAATAGACCACTATAAAACACACTACTCATAGTTATACGTTGACTTTTACCTCAGTAAAACAAAAGCTTTATGTCGCATCATCAGTATATTTCAAAAGTCTGAAAATGCACCTTTATGGTGCTTTTATTTATAAGATTTTTTATGGACAAAAATGTTTGCCCCTGAATGCAAGATGAGTCAGCAATACTTTTGTTTTGTTTACTGGAAGTCAAAGATATACATTTTACACAAATATCTGCTAGAGGAAAATCAGTATGTGAAACGTACTGTATGTGAAACAGTACTCTACCATAGGGTTGGCCTCAAAGCTGAGGGAGGCAAACTAAAGCCACAATAAATTAATAAATAATGATGATTTCATAAGTTCTTTAAACAAGCGCAACAGCTTTTAGTTATTCGCTATTTATATATTGTACACAGATTACTGATCCAGACAATGTATTTGAACAAAGCTGTGCTACTGTTTTAAACCTAAAATCTTGTTTAGGAATGGGTTGGATCATGGAGCATGGTCCTCCTCATCTCGCTAGTATGGTCTTTTTTTTTATATAGCAGTAATTAGTTGGCGAGAGTTACATTAATTTATGTATTTATTTATTTATTTCCTGTGCAGTCAAAAAGCTCAAGCTTGTATGTCATTTGCAGAATGACTCACTCTCCCTCCCTCAGTGAAACTGCACCTGTTTAAAGCCATGAAGACATATTGTGATTTTGTTCCTCATATATTCACTTTGGTGCTTAATGCGAATATTTAACATATGCATCACCACACGGAATCTAAAAAAAAAAAAAAGAGTTGTCAGTTTTGGCATAATGTTTTCTCAAGCAGACAATGTAATTTACTGTACATCAGTCAGAGTCAGATAATCATTTGTAGAATTTGATTTAGACCATATGTTATACTGAAGTTATCAGCCAAAACAAGTATATTTTCTTGCCAAAGCCAATAAAACATTACAGTGAAAAACATTACAGTGAGGCCTAAATATCAGGGGAATTTCAACCAAAATTGAGCATCACCTCTGCCTGGGCACTTAAAGTGAATGTTCAGGGCACTGCTGTCTAATATTTACCTGTCAGATACCAACTAAATTTATAGTATATTGCTGGCTACTAGTTGCTGTTCTTTTTGTTTAGTTCTAAAGTGTTTTAAAATTAAATTGCAATTGTGTGCTGTGACTTCACAATAAACGGTATCCCTTTTATTTTTCAGTCCAGAAGTGGGCTACAGTATTTTACTTCATATAAATAACATACATTAGACGCTGTAGGTAAATGACCAAAAATAAAGTGCAGCAAACAGTAAAAACCAATGTGTTTATGATTAAAATAATATGATAACAAATGCCAGTTTGCAACATCAAGCAGCATAACACAGTGTTTTTTCAGCTAAAATGAATGATAGCGGATTGTGATATGGAAGCATTTTTGTGTGTGGAAGTCTTTATATATATATATATATATAAATGACATTTAGAATCCGCCCATCTCCTGAAAGCTGGCTGACAGGGATATCGCATTTAAATACTGTACTCAAATGCTCCTGATGTTGAAGAACCTCTGCTTTGGCACACATCCCCACAAGGTGCACTTGGTCCAGTCATGTATTTCTGAAGTAGCATTCAGCAGTTGCAGAAGTCTGAATAACCCCAACGAAATCAACATATTTTGCTTTTAGGCTCAAACATGGATGTCGTTGACTACTGTGAGTGAGCTTATTCAGATGAGCAGAATTAGTACTATTTCCACAGGCTTCAACTCTCCCTAAATCACCAATATAATTAGGTTTGCAGTCCGCATAGAAAATGAAGTAACTAATCAGATGCCTTGCCCACACACTGCTAAGGCACAACAGCTGATAAGGAAAGATCCATAAGGAACCATAAGAAAATAATTATTACTTCCATTGCATTCACGTTAGAGCTCATACTATGTTGTCTTGTAAAAAAAAAAAAGTCTGCGCAGAAAGAATGAGATTAGCCAAAAAAAAATTGTAGCACACCTTACCTCAGCTAAGATGTTTAAAATATTATTAGTGATCATTTATTTATTTCTCTCTACAGTTATAATGGATGTAATATTATACTTTATTATAATACAGGCTGTTGAATACTTGCGTATGATTGGTTGATGAACCCAAATGTTCTCAGACCTTTGATTGTGATGTTGGGGTGAACTCTGATGAGGATTCTTTACGTTCAAAAAAAGTGGCCACTCCATGTTGAGTATTAAGAAGTTTCTTAAGAGTACCAGAGGAGTCAGGAATGAAGAGGGGAGAGGAAAACTGAGAGTGTGTGTAACAACTCTTCATTGATTCAATCAAGAACATTCAGTTCTGAAGTTCTGAAAGCGCAGGGGAGAAAGTTTTCACTGATCAGGAGATTTATCATTGAAAAAAAAAACTTGCTTTGAAAGCTATAAAAGATCGTGAATATGTTTAGTACTTTTTCCCCCCATTTTGTTTTTCTTTTGTTTTTCTTTTGTTTCCTTTTTTCTTTTGTTTTAAGAGTGAGTTAAGAATAGGCAGCCTGAATTTAAATGGCTGTAGAGACAAAGGAAAAAGGGCTTTATTTTGCAGATTGTGCTCCCTTACACATAGTACTGCTGATAAAGTCGACTGGAAGAGAGAATGGGATGGTGAAGTTTTTAATTTTTTTCTGAGTCAATAAACTAGTAACAGTTTGGAGTGGGAATACTTTTTCCAAAAATTTCACTCCTCTGTCTGTTGAGTTTGTAGAGGTCATTAGATGCCGCCTGTTAAAAATCAGAGCAACACTGTATATGAACATGTACACCTTGTGTTCATTACTGTATATGCTCCATTTCTTTGAGTACAGATATTAGTTTTCTTGGAGGCTGTACTTGATGACTTCGGGGATTGTATTTTTTTTTTTACTTTTACTTCCCTTTTATTGTTTTAATCATTTTAATGTTTTTGTTTTTCATTAGTCTTGTTGGTTTTTCTGATCTCTCTCTCTCTTGTGCATAAAAATGGCCAAAAAAGAGATATATTCACAGTTCTGTCATGACAACTATCAGAGGGATTGGCATGGTAATGTACATGACAATGTAAATGTGTTGGTATTGGCGGAATAGATCTGTTACACTGCTGCTGCGGCAGAGCAAGTACCGAGACTTGCTACTGCCAATACATCCACAACATGTGTGAGCATGTAAACAATTCTGCTGCTACACTTATAACAGATATGAATAAACCCCATAGCATACATTATCACCCCATAGCAGATCTATACAGGTGGAGCTAGGGAAGGTGGAGGGCTTCTGAAGTGCGCAGCAACTGTTACCACAAGCACTAGCCAATGTTGAGCATCGAGCTCATTGGCTACCGATACAGGAGAGAACCAATCAGCTGTGCCATGTGATGTCATTATGTCATCATGTCAGATTGAGTTAGATCTATTGAACTGCACCATCTAGAGTTTCATGTCAGAACTTTGGATTTTGGAGTATGATTCCGGGCAGGTGCTGTCTGGTCATACTGCTATTTGTAAGCATGCTTTTACAGTCGCTTGTTTAAATTTGAACATTGAGAAGAGCAGGTAGTTCACAGCTGCAGTGCGAAGGCTTCTAAGCAGAAGGCGGATCTGTGGACCATCATTCTCGATAAATAGTCTTCAACTTAAAGGTCCTGACGCCTCTGGCCCAGGACTTCTGAGGGCGGGCCCCTCTGGGGAAGAGCGGTGTACACCTCATCATATGGTGCCCTTCTCTCCTCAGTGCCATCAGGAGATCAGTCTGTCAACCCAGCCACCCCCGGTGCTTCAGGGCACAGCGGTCTCCAGCAAGCACATCTCTCAGCATCCGCCCGGAAACGTAGCGGTCCTGAGAGGCTCGCTACCTCCAAGGAGGTCTTTAGAGCAGCTAGATCGGCCGTCTCCTGCCGGTCCTCCACTTCAGGGCACCGAGCTAGCCGCTCTAAATACACCAGAGGCCAGTCTCGAGAGACTGGTTCCCTTAGTAGATCATCTGGCAGTGTGGAAGCTTCTGCCAAATGTGTCTCATTGGGTCCTGAACACTGTAGAAAGAGGCTCAGTCATGCAACTCAAGTTCAAAATGCTCACGATCAAACAGGTCGTGTCTCAAATCAGGTCTGAGGACTGGTTTGTGATGATAGATCTGAAAGACACATACTTCCACATATCTATCCTTCCTCAACACAGGAAGTTCCTGAGGTTTGCTTTCGGGGGCAAAGTGTACCAATATCGGGTTCTTCCGTTTGGTTTGGCACTCTCACCCCGAACTTTCACCAAGTGTGTGGATGCTGCTCTGGCTCCTCTGCGATTCCAGGGCATCTGTATACTCAACTACATCGACAATTGGTTG